TTCAACTTAAGGAGTACTGGGAAGTCACTGGGGTTTTTATAGTAGGAGAGGAACGTGGTTAGGCTTGGCTTCCCAAGTTCGATGTGGGAATTACACACCACACTGGAGTGATAAGAAACGCCACCGCGAGGCCAGTTAGAAAGGTAGGTGCAGAGGGAGGGCTTCCTGAAGTGGCGTGCTGGGAGTGCCAAGTGGTGGTGGTGGTGGGGGGGTGATACAGAGCGCCCACAGAACTCTCCACTGGCCCGTGGGGCACAGGACGTCTGCTAGAGGGACGGGGGGTGGAGGCGGGGAAGCGACCTGCGAGGCCGAAGGGCCCCGCGTCCGCACGGGCAGAGCTGCACCGTGCGCGCGTGGCACCCGCAGCCCCGAGGCCAGGTGAGGCCCGGGTCTCCCGAGCTCCGTGCGCCCCTCGGAGCCTCAGTGTCTTTATCAGCGGAATGGGAAACGCTGGCAGCTAACGCGCATCACCCATCTGTGTCGTCTCCCCGCCCTGTGCTAGGCGCTTTGCCTGTCGTGTGGTTCCGTCCTCGCCGAAGCTCTGAATTCGATGTTCATCCAGTTTACAAGTCGAGGATGAGAACAGTCTCCTCAGTTAATGACACCTTTTAGACAGGGAAATGACAAAGGTGAGTAAGTGAAAGAGGCCCTGTGTTTTTTTTTTTTTTTTGAATAGCAGCTTAGGATGGAGGAACAGCGCTCCGCATTATAAAGGGAAGGGCTACAAATATTTTATAATGATAAAACTGTTCCATTATCTCAGATGCTAAAAGCTCCACAAAAAAATGCAGGTTTCCTTAGCATTCAAGATAAATGCACCACACCTTTTATCTCCACTGGGTGTGTCATTTTCCTAACCGGGAGGTCTTTCGCAAATTTCCTTTCTCCACTCTGCTTTGGTTTGCAGGACAAAGGCGAAACTCAGTTTCCCGTCTCTGGTTATTTGGTAGAAAGTTTCTCTGGTGGCACATTCTTGGCAAAATTGTAACCTCCTCGGGGTTTCTAACGGGCATGCTGAGGTCATCCTAACCATACTTTAGGAATGCTGTAATGGGAATGATGGAATTCAGCGTAAACCTCAATTTTTCCTCACTGAAAATAGAAACTTCTTAATGAAAATATGTTCTAACTGCTTAGAGCCAGAGGAGGCAAATGCAGGTTAAAGAGATTCATTTAAGACTTTTATGGTGTGGATGGAAGAAATGCAAAACATGTAAAGCCTTCAGTTAACGAAAGCATTTCATTTCTGCTTTAATTTCTGGTTTCAGTTTTACTGTTCTGGGTGCAATTTTTAGTATGCTTTTCAAGAGTCCTAATGAGGCACCGTTGTCGGCACGTCCTTCAAATCACTTAACATCCATCCAGCAAACGAGAAGCAAGACTGTACTTATCTCCCAAACGACAAGGATGTACGAATAAAAAAGTCAACTTTTTGAGTTTTTTTCTTATCGACTTTATTGGGGAATAATTTATATAAAATAAGTTTCATGAATTTCAAGTGTACGATTTAGTTTTGACAGCTGTATACTCGTGTGATATCTCCACTACAGTCGAGACGAGATTTTTCCTCATTTTTTGGTTATTATTACTACATAAGTTTCAGGTGTACGACATGATAATTCAACATCTGTATTCACTACATAGTGATCACCCCAAAGTTACCATCGCCATTCAACTGACCCCCTTCACCCCCTTACCCACCCCCAAACCCCTTCTCCTCTAGTAACCAGCAATCTATTCTCTGTATCTATGAATTTGGTTTGGTTTTGCTCATTTGTTTTAGATTCCACGTATGAGTGAAATTGTTTGATATTTGACTTTCTCCTTCCAACTTATTTCACTTAGCGTTATACGCTCAAGGTCCATCCACGTTATCACAAATGGCGAGATTTCATTCTTTTTTATGACGTGGTGGCATTTAATTGTACATATGTACCCATCTTCTTCATCCATCAATGGACACTCAGGTTGTTTTCATATCTTGGCTATTGTAAATAACGCTGCAGTGAACAGAGGGGTGTATATATTATTTCGAATTAGTGTTTTTGTGTTCTTCAGCTAAATATTCAGAAGAATTGCTAGATCATATGGCGGCTCTGTTCTTAATCTTTTAAGGAAGCTTCCATACTATGTTCCATAGTGGCTGCACCAATTTACACTCCCACCAACAGTACACACATGTTCCTTTTCCTCCACATCCTCCCCAACACCTGTTATTTCTTGTCTTTTCGATAATAGCCATTCTAACAAGTGTAAGGTGATATCTCATTGTGGTTTTGATTTGCATTTCCGTAATAATGTGATTTGGAACATCTGTTCATGTGCCTATGGCTTCTTTGGAAAAATGTCTATTCGGATCCTCCGCCTGTGTATTAATCAGGTTGCTTTTCTGGTTGTTGTTGAGTTGCATGAGTTCTTTATATATGTTGGATAATAACCCCTGATCGGATGTATCATTTGCAACTGTCTTCTCCCACCCAAGAGGCTGCGTTTTCATTATGACGATAATTTCCTTTGCTGCGCAGAAATACTTTTTAGTGTGATATCATCCCATTTGTTTAGTTCGAAAGTCAATGTTTTTAATACTTGCTTTTAGGTCGATTTTTATTCTCGAGGAAAATCACTATTTGCGAAGTAAATTCTTTTGCCGTAGGATGCTTAGAAATCCAAGTTCGTATGTGATAGACCTGCAGTTAAAGGGCAAACGTTCTTAACAAAATCTTTCAGACGAGAAGATGAAGGGAAATTGGGATGAGTTAGTTGAAGGCAGTGTTACCTCTGGGCATAGGGACAGGTGTCTGTGCCCTTGGCCAGTTAGCATCCTGGAACACCGTGGAGCCACGCTACTCAGCCTGACACACTTCAAACACCGCGCCTCTCACAGGGTAGCCGAGGAAGCCTGCGCTGGCAGCAGACCCTAGGGGCCTTTTTCCTGGGCTCTGGTACTCATCGGGCCTGGTGATGCTTTGCCAAACAGCATCCAATCCAGCCTTCCTGCAGTTAGCCACCATTTTGAGCCCGTTTCTCTGATGTAAAAATGGAAGCACTCGAGTTCCCTAAATTTGATTCAGATGGAGTTTAAAATCAGTTCAAAGGCGGGGACAGAATTACACATTTTGGTAGATTTTTTGGACAGCCTAGTGAAAGATCGATCATTTATCATTTATTTCTATGAGCGAAGACAGTTGAACAATCTCCAGATACCTCGCTATTCTTTTTTTCCTTTTTGATCCGGATAACGAACCCAGCGTTGCAGATGTGGGCGAGCTCAGCACTGTTATCTCAGATGAAACAGAAAGGATCCAGATTTGCCCCACAACCGGAACTGGAGCTTCATGTCATGATTTTTTTTTTTTTTACAAAAGGAATTAACCTCTTCTTCCTCCTCGGATCAACTCTATTTGCCGAAATGACTCCAGGAGAACGAAAAATGGGGAGTGGTGAGGAGCGATTGGAGCCGAGGGAGGGAGAGCGCCTCGGAGGAGTTCGCAGCCCCTCTGGAGTGGGATGCAGCTGTGTCTCCTACCTCCTCTTCCCTGTCCCCGGATCCTCCCCGACACCTGCGGTACCGCCACCTGCAATGCCAGCAAAGTCCGCAGGTGCCTCCAGGTCACGCTGGGGACACAGCACAACCATGCGCACACTTCGATCACCAGGCACCATCCACCGTGACCCTTTTCCCTCGGTGGCTGATGCAAACCGCACTGTTCATAGTATTCCAAGCTTTTTTAGAATATATGTATTTAGGTCTTTTCGGGTTGGGAGTTATGGGTAATTTGGCAAAGCAAACACCATAGCTGGTTTATTACATAACTCAGTGGCTGGCAATAAGGCACAGAGATTAAGCAACGCTCACTCACCCAAGAAGACTTCATTTTCCTTTTTTGGAGGGATTAATGTTCTGGTTTGTTTTTTTTTTTTTTTTCCTGTTGCATATATTCTTTTTATTATCGGCTGACTTTAATGATTCTTTGAAGTTAATCTTTAAATGCGAATGGTAGGGTTCCATTGAACTCTTAGAAACTTAAGAGGGATCCCTGGATGTCTCCAGACTAGAGAATGTTTTTATAAATAACGTTGAGTGCTTTTAGGTGATAATGAAATTGGGAAGAGGGGAAGGACCTAGCTAGGACCCAGACTGCCAGAGGTATCTAAACTGGTAAAGTGTTTAGAAGTTCAAAGAGTTGGAGCCTTTTGAAAAAACTGGCATCCTGCCATCACAGGAGGCTTCTCCAGACCAGACATCTTACCTGAAAAAAAAAAAGGCCAGCTGAACTAACTTTTCAACTGTAGTGTACATTCTTTCCACTTCTTCTTATCCTATTTAAAGAAAAAAAAAAGTTTCAGTCCGAGTCTCAAAGCAGGAAGATGTCTTAATGTTTCTTTTCTCCACTTCAGGCACTAGATTCTCTAAAATGTTTCTGTAGCTTTCTCTGAATTCAGTAGCTGTCAGAAAAAGAAGTGTTGCATATTCCTCCTTCTCTCGAATTACAATAATAAAGTTTTTCAATGAAAATCCTCAATGCTCGCATGTTCCCACTGTGGAAGACAAGTGGGAATTAGGACATCCGTCCGATAAAGTTCAGTGGGGGGAGGGGAGCCATATTTCAAAATGAATTCCACTTTTTTCTTGAAAAACAAGAGTTCATCAACCAAGACAGATTGCAGATTTTTCTCTTAATACCCCAATATGAACCTTTGACTGTTTTCCAGGAAATAACAGGGATCCAACAACTTTGCCCAGACCTGCGTTTCCAGGTTTCCCAAACCCTTGAAAGTCCCCAGAGGCTAATTACTGTTTACCGTGCGGACCTTCCTCCTTTCTGTTCTGTAACATTTTCCATCTTAAAAAGGGCCGACCCGTTCAGCCCCGGAGCGGGGCGTCTGAGTGGCCAATGGCATTACTACCAGCGGGAACTATGCCGCCGAAGATAAAGCAGCTGCACAGCCAACCCCTGCAGCCCAGCAGAGCTAATTAGCATAGGGAAAATGACTAAGGTGTTGACGTCACCTCTTCCCAGTAGAAACTTACGCGCTGTGTCCCTGTCTGTCCGTAAGCATGCAGGGCTTGACTCAGGAATTTGCGGTCCAAACAGGACACGCTGGAAGCTGTGTGTCCCACCCCCCCAGGGGGCTGGACCTCAGTGCTTTATAAGTGTTGGCTCGAGAGAGAACCTCCAGCCTCTTGTAAAGGAGCCTCACTCGGGGGCTTGACTGCGTGACTGCGTGAGCCCAGCGCTTTCACTGTAAGAAAGCAAGATGCATTTTAGAAATTTTAACTGCAGTTTTAGCTCCTTGATTGCCTGTGTGGCAAACAGTGATATCTTCAGCGAAAGTGAAACCAGGGTAAGGCTTCTATTATAAATGTGATTTTCTGAGAATTTTCAGAGTCTTATGTTAATCGGGACTGTGAACTGAAATGTTTGAGAGGGGTGGTAAGTGGCTCTCTCTTGCGGGTTTTGGGGTTTTGAAGTAAATCCGAAATACTTTGAGTCCCCAAAATCAAAAGCTGTCGCCTGAGAGATTAACTGCGAAGGGGTTTGTACAGCTCTCAATGTTTGAGAACATCCAGGTCCCTCGATCGACCAGCAAGGCGCACTTTGGGCATTGTGCGTTTTTCATTCTGGGTAAACTTTTCAGAAAGAGGTCTTTTCTGATGGTGAATAGGACGTTTCGACATCCAGAGTTCAGAATAATTTGGTTTTATCTTAGGAAATAAATGTTGTAAAGGTTTTTGTACGTTTGCAGTAATTACAAGGATCTGTCCTCAAGTTTTCAGATTTCTCTAGCTACAGAAAAAGCAGCCATAGCAAAAAATAAAACGGGACAAATAATTTAAATGTGAGTGGGGTAAGTATACCTTCTGGGAAGCAGCTCTCATTGCTGGTAATTAATACAATTACTAATTTTGATTAATCAAATTTCTTCATTTGATTAAGAGGTAAGATCTTCATCAGTATCTACCCAGCTCTCTTATCGATCTTTTGACACTATTGTATATGAATGAATCTGTATATTTTGTTCGGGGGTTGGTATTTGTGTTACGTGCTTTAGACCAAAAGTCATATTGGGATATGTAAAGGTTTCTTTTCTTTCTTTCTTTTTCTTTCTCTCTCTTTCTCTTTCCTTCTTTCTTTTCCTTTCTTTCTTTCCATCAAATTTAACTCCATAATTGGATACTATGCTTGCCAGCCGGGGGCTGTAATTTTTGAACTAGATATTAGAGCACATTCTGTGCTTAAGTGTACAACATATATTTAACATTAGCTTCGTGTGAATAAAATCACCAATTTATTTATTTAAGTAGAGATGCCATTCAACAACTATAATAACAAGATGCACTTATTAGAACCAATAAGAGTATTTTATCGCAGAATGTTCTAGTAGTAAGACAGATTTAACAGATAAAATACCTTCTCTTGTGTTCGGGTCCCGAGCGCTGACTTGTATTCTAAAAATATTCATCAAAGTCATCTTTCCTAAATTATGAATCATAACTTCGAAACTACACAGTTGGTCACAACGCCTGTCGATGAAGTCATGTGAAAGTCCAAATTTATGCAGACGCCCTTAGCCAGGAACTTGCCCACGCTTGAGAGACGTGGAGAAACAAGCCACAGGCAGCCAGATGAAGTTGAGCCATAAGCACCTGCTCTGCATTCTTTCTGGGTCTTCGCCTCTGCAGAAGCCGGTGTGGGAAAGTCACAGAGGTGTCCATAAACAAACGGAGAGCGAGGGAATTCGAAGAGGGAAAGTTTGTAAGTTGTTCCCACTCCCCCTCACCACCTACCTGGTGGAGACACCTCAGAGGCTAGAATGCCAGACCCACTGCAGCCCTGCCATGCGGAGCAGACACGTGCCAGGAGGCCCGTTCCCGCCGCGCTTTCTAGCACCGAGTGTCCTTGAGGATGTTCTTTCTCCTCTCTTATTCAGAATCCTCTCCCCTCTGCAGAAACGCTGAGCTTGCATAGTTTCCAGGGGACTTTGTGGGGCCACCACCTTCCCAGTCACTCGCCTGTGTGGAGGGCCTGCTGCCCCGTCCACCTTCCCCTGCGAGAAAACACGGCCACTAAAAGACCCCAATTCGGCTGTCTGCCACCTCCCTCTCTGGCTGGGCTCTGGAGGGGTTGCCCAGTCCTCCCAGTGCCCCTCCCACTGACACCCCAGCCCGGAACCCAGTCCAGGGGGCCTCGCCCAGGGGGCCACTCCCAGGGGGCTGGTGACCCTTCCCTGAAGCCAAGCGTGTGATCACTGGGCTCCAGCATTCCAATTTGAAGCACTCATGCCGTTTTCATAATTTTCGCTCGCCCTTATTAACACCAGAGCGAGATACGTACATATGTTAAGGATAGCATGCAGAAGTGGGTCCATTTGCAGTACATTCATGTTTTGAAAATCAGTGTTACTTTAGAGAGTAGAAAAGCAACAGATTGGGGAAAGAATAGCGGGAATTCTTTTACATTAAGAAAGGCAAGGCTTTTTTATTTCATTGTTTTCCGAGTCAATAGAAATGATTTTCTCACATTAGCTCCAGTGATTTTAAGCCCTAAAGAAACCTTCACTGGACATGGCACCGTCTTGAGCTGGGTGGTGGGAATGGAGTTCGCTAGACTGGAAGGTCACTAGACAGAGGAACTGGCCGGCCAGAGGGGTGACAAGTGACTAAAGTGTACCTCCTCGGAAAGGCTCGTCCTACTTTAAAAAGAATGTTTCTGTGAGAAGTGTTTAAGTATTGGTCATTGTTCTGCTGATTAAGTGAATTTAGTCAGTCATACATTCTTCCTTTCTTATGAAATCAGCTGTATTAAAATGAAAATGGCAGCGGAATTTCCACAGAGGGAAAGGCTTATACTCTGTCTTCCTGAAGAAGTTAGCTTTTCCGAAAGAATTAATAATTCCCTTCCAAAATAAGAAATGTAGTGACATCGTCTTGTCAAGGGTCATATGCAGGTAAATTTTAATTCCTTTTATTTCTGTTTTTTTTTTTTTTCAGGCCAAATTTGAATCTCTCTTTAGGGCATATGACAAGGACATCACCTTTCAGTATTTTAAGAGCTTCAAACGTGTCAGAATAAACTTCAGCAACCCCTTGTCTGCAGCAGACGCCAGGCTCCAGCTACATAAGTCTGAATTTCTCGGAAAGGAGATGAAATTGTATTTTGCTCAGGTGAGTCGAGTTCATCGATGTGCATGTTTCTCCCTCTCCCTCCCATCCTTTTTTTAAAAAATAGTTTGCACAATGATAATGTTATACGATGATTTAAAGAACTCATCCTGAGAAAGGCAAAAGTCATTCTCTGAATTTTCAGTGTGTCGCTTGTTTTAAGAAAACATGCGGGTATATTTGAAAGTGACCTCAGAAGCGGCCCCTGGCCTTCCTGGGTTGAGTAAGGATAGGAGATAAAATGCCTTTCCGGTTCATTCTGGAAGGTCGCGGAGTGCGGTGGGTGGGCGTGGCCACCCTGGGCCTCACAGA